CCCCAAAACCCCAAAACCCCAAAACCCCAAAACCCCTCTATTCAGTCTTGTCATTATTACTCAATATTACAAAAATATAATAGTTGTTACAGTTATTATGTAAATTTAATGTGAATTCAGCCATCGATTAGGTTTTTGATATTGACTCTATTTTAACTTTCTCGGCCGAATACCTCCAACCTTGTTTATTCAGTTCAAACAATTTAGATTTTAGCAGCTTAGATAGCTTTGGCTTGCTCCTCTTCATTTTTCTTGGGAATGTGGATTGAATCATAGAATGGATTTGTGTAGGCCATTATGGCATAGAAATTTATGACATATAAGGCTGTGAACCACTCAAGTCCTGGAGTGATACGACCATTAGTACCGAAGGTGAAGGTACTAAGTATCATAAGTATACAAGAGTAGAAAATACCATTCACGTTTCTCTTTAAGATTCTGATGCTGTTTCTGTCTGATTCAGGGAAGTTCTCAATATTGTCGTACATAGCATCTGAAAGCCACACACCATAAAGAGTAAAGCATGAAAAGAAAGTGCCTGCAGCCAAGTAGTGAATTGGTCTGTAAGCTTTCTCATCAAAGATTCCAATAAGTGGAAGAGCAATACAAGCAGGAAGTCCAATCCAGAGGATTCTGTCATTGCTTTTGTTTGGGATAAGGCCATAGACCTTTTTAAACCAGGCTCTCATGTTGATTTGCATGATTCCAAGAGTGTAAATTGTGGTCATGAAAATAAAGAGTCTGTCGTAGGGTCTTAGAGCTAATATGTCACTGATCATTGGCCAAGTCGTATTATTGCACTGCACTTCACCTTTTGAGCAAGCCATCCACGCAATCATTAAAAAGAGTAGATCCGCTAGAATACTGAAAATGATAGTCATTTTCTTCAATGAAAAAGAGATGACTCCATCCTCAAAGGCAAAAAAGTCTGACCATGAGGATTCTCCCATTTTGAATATATTTCTAAGTTTTTAATTCATTCCCTATTCCATTCTGCTCAAATTTTAGTTTAAGGTCAAATTTTAGGTTGATTCCTGCTATTAAGGTTATTGCTACTATTGGATAAAAGTATTTTTATCAATATAGACCAGGTTTGTCGGAGGGCAGTTTACCTCGAAGAGAAGACTTGAAGTGTCTAAAGTAGTTTAGTCTTAGTTAAATTGAGGGTACTGGCCGCTGTTTTATTCGCTTTACATATGTAAAATTAATATTATTATAAATTAGAATCCTTTTAATTATTCCTAATATGCATTTTCTCCTAAGAAAACTTACTATATATCTTCATAGATTTATGGGGTTTTGGGGTTTTGGGG